GAGATTAAGCTGTAATTTAAATTGAGCAATAACGTTACGCCAGTAAGAGTAGCGCCATCTATCGCCAAATAGCCAAACTAATATCGAAGGATCTAGTAGCATCTAGAACGCTCGAGAAGTACAACGCCATCTATTGTCAGACCGCGGAAACACACAATACTCGACTTGTGTTGAATATTCTCGATAATTCTAGGAATTCCGTGTTGACTATAAAAACGTTGCAAACATGGCACGCAATCAATTAGTAATCGGAACTCCTCGAAGCGAAACTGAGAACGGATTACCTGAAGCGAATTGAGAATTTTAAAGTGTTTGTGAAGTGTTTTAAGTGTTATAAGCGTTAATACAGTTTTAATTAGTTCTTCGATAGAATTTTATTTATCCCGAGCCCGAGCGCGTAACAATAACTTAGTTCAAAATCAAAAAAGCATAAAATTTTATCCTAGTAAAAAAAGGGGCATTTCCGATTCGTTTGACACATAAGCTGTTTGACGATCGCAAGGGTAAAACTTTTCTTTGGAGAGGCCACAGAAAAGTTTCAGCCTTGTCGTAAATATTTGTTCGAGGTTCCAGAGAGCGGGCTTTTCATAAATAGTCAAATAAGGCCGGTTGCCGCTACACACGATATATCAGAGCCAATAACTTTAACCTTGGTAAAACTGGATAGCAGTGCCACAGTTTAGAAGACTAAATGAAATATAACGAAATATCATGAATGTTTGGCTGTTTACATGTTTATTAGGCTGGCATGTAAGATTTTGAAATAAATAAATATTTTTACTCGCAGCTGTATTATAATATAGTTTATTAGACAGTTGATTTTTCGTTAATAAGCTCATGTTATCTGTGCTTTTCTATTGAAATAGAAATTGAAAAAAAATAATAATCTGTAAGGTATTATATTATGGTTGATAACTAACATGTTGCCTTACATGCGACTAAGACCTAATTTCCTACAGTTGTAGTTGTATTTTCAGGAATAGCTATTGGCGTAGTCTACTTAGGTTCGGTATTCATTCATGAGTCACGCGAAAATTAATAAATGTATTTTGTTCGAAGTCGCCTTGAAGCGTTACTGACTCTTAAATAAAATACAATTAAATTAAATAATGAATGGGACAATTCGTATTAATTTTTTTTGTGTCTACCTGCGACATAAAAAAAAACCAACGTAGCTACCGCTGTATTTACTCTGCAAATTGAATAGCTTGTATAAAAATAATGTAACAAACGATTTGGATCTGGCATTATCGTAAACTAACGGAAAACTCTATTTGATGGTGGCTTAGTGAAATGTCCCGTTATATCGATGTACTTTGGTTAATATAGTGATGAATTTGGTTTGTGGTAAAATGGCAATTGAAGACATGAGTGGATGAAGGGGATATGATACAATTTGTTAATTTTTACTGGTGGTAGGACCTCTTGTGAGTCCGTGCGGGTGGGTACCACCGCCCTGCCTATTTCTGCCGTGAAGCAGTAATGCGTTTCGGTTTGAAGGGTGGGGCAGCCGTTGTAACTATACTTGAGACCTTAGAACTTATATGAGATATAAATATAAATGTTCACAATTGACTTCCACGGTGAAGGAATAACATCATGTAATAAAAATCAAATCCGCAAAATTATAATTTGCGTATTTACTAGTGGTAGGATCTCTTGTGAGACTGCGCGGGTAGGTAACCCTGTAGGTAACCACACTACCTATTTCTGCCGTGAATCAGTAATGCGTTTCGGTTTGAAGGGTGGGGCAGCCGTTGTAACTATACTTGAGACCTTAGAAATTATATCTCAAGGTGGGTGGCGCATTTACGTTGTGGATGTCTATGGGCTCCAGTAACCACTTAACACCAGGTGGGCTGTGAGCTCGTCCACCAATCTAAGCAACAAAAAAAAAAAAAAAAATTTGAGAAAATAGGCAACAAGCTTTTATTACCTACTTATTTTTGAGATATTAAACGTTTGTGGCTGTTATTTTTATTATTTTAAACGGGAAATTATAGTACTTTCATTTCTATACCCATATGGAGGATATAACTTTTTGGAATCATTTAAAAGTGCCCATGTCACTTTCATTCAACGTGTTAATATTTTTTCTTTGTACATAACTCCTTCATCACAAATAATTTATAAAAATAGCTTTTAAGCCCTGAGTTTTAATGTCTAATATGGTTAATAAGCACATAAAACCTTCATTCGATGTAAAAACTCAAAAATCTTAATAATGGTACTTATTCCCTTCATCCACTCATGTCTTCAATTAATTATGCAAGCCTCTATATTTGTTAGTATAGTTTGGGCTACAACGTTGCATGATGTATTTTCTAGAATCTTCATAATAAAAAATAGCATGTTTAAGATTTCCGTTTCTCGATATTAAAAACTCTAATCTAATTAACGGGTTTTTACTACGATTTTTGACTTCAACGCGTCTCTGATATTTTCTTTTTAATGAAAACACCATGATCGTAATATGTAGACTGAAGATAGTGGGTGGAATTTTAGGAACAGACACAGATCTTCCTGGACCGTTTTTGCTGTTACCACCGGAATTCGAGGTTGTCCGCTGTGACATTACGTGAGTCACTTAGGACGATTTTTTCAAGACACTTTGAGAACGAAACCTAATACTGTATTCTGCTCACTAATACCTAAAGCCATTACCTTATATAGATTGGTTTCTCAGATTAGCAAATGTATATGGCTTCCGGATGAATTAAATTATGTTAGCTATTAGGTTGGTACAGTTTTAATGTTCTCATACCAAATAAAGTTATATTCTGTAATGGAAATTAGCTAGCTCAATATTACTAGCTCTCCATTACTGTTTATTAAGAAATAAAATTGAAACCCTTTAATTAAAAGATACCTCAAATTAAGGTATTCTAATACTGATCCTAAAAATTTCCTCCGCGTCTCTATCTCAGGAAAATCAAACATCTGTTGTTTGTCTTCAACCAACAACTTTCCATAATTTGATTTCTTTGAATAATTTTCGATAAGAAATGGTGTTCTTCAGAAACACGAAGAAAAATGAACTCTATCTCGAAACCCTACAATATCTTTTCAAACGTCTTAAATAAAAGACTAACAAACAACTCAAATCAAAGGCTAGAAAACAGAAGAAAAATTCTTCAAGTTCATTTGCGAAAAGCGTTTCAAGTTCACGGGAAATTGACCCTTATTTGTATATGCAGGTGGTGTGAAATTCCTTTCGAGGATCGTTGACATCAAAGACCCTGCCGTTTGCGGATTCACGCAAGCTGCCAGCGATATTTGTGTTGTGGCCATGAAAAGAGCGACAACGTGATAAAGTATTATTAAGTCCATTACATAACACTTCTTTGGTTTTTTAAGGTGTAGTTCTGACGTATTCAATTTAGATTATTTTCATTATAACTTAGAGTTTTGTTTTATTTTAGAATAATGATGTAAATACATATTTTAGGTATTTCAAAGGATAGTATTGCTGGCGTTCTAGACTTTTTCAATCACCGTCTTACTGGTCAGAGATATTATGGTTTTTTGCCAATGCGGATGAAAAAGTACCCATAACCTATTAATTACTGATGTCGACACAAAACTAACAACATAACAATGACCCCAATATAGACCTCTTTTATATTGGGGTTTATTATTTATATATGTATATAAAATATATAATATATACCTTTTTTATATTTTCAAAATTAGCTATTGCAGCAATTCTCGGTATTGTGTACTCACTCGAGTATGTACATATAAATAGCCCGTTTGTTTCCGGGTTAGTAATGCATTCCAAAGCGTAAAAGTAGATCTTGGTTTCGACCATCAGTATAAGCGGGTTTTATTTTTATTTTTTATTGTTTAGATGGATGGACTGGAGCCTATAGACATCTACAACGCAAATGCGCCACCCACTTTGAGATATAAGTTCTAAGATCTCAGTATAGTTACAACGGCTGTCCCACCCTTCAAACCAAAACACATTATTGCTTTACGACAGAAATAGGCAGGATGGTGGTACCTACCCGTGCAGACTCAGAAGAGGTCCTACCACCAGTAAGTTACCACTAATTTACGGCATAAAAGTGTCCAGTCGAAGCCAGTGATATCAAGCACTTCCAATTTTTATCAAAAAGAGCTTATTTAATGGCCAAAAAACCTTATCTATGTCTGAGAGCACGTTCATGAGACACCTCTTATCTATTCCTGCCGCAGGGAGCACTTTACGCATGAATTCCTGCGTTAAAGTCTACAACCCATCGAGCTTAAACTAAGTTTCGGTACGAGCTTTTGAGTGTTTGACAGATTTCCGCGACTTAGGAAGAGATAGGCAGAATCTTGAAATGCAATACTGTTTTCGAAGGCTTTGATGACCCGTACAAGTAATTTGAAAAGAAATGCACGATTTAAAAAAAAATACCTTTAAACCTACACCGATATAATGTGAGTGCTGCAGAATATTCTAGTTCGATCTTTTAGTTAGGGCAGTGTGACATTTGTTTAATTGATAATGCGACCTTATTTCGGAAGGTGTACACTATGTATGTACACCAGCCAGATGGTCAGATCTAGCAAGAGAAGCACTTGGTGGTAGTCTGTACCATGCAGTCCATGCCACCCATGATCGAGCACAGTGGAAGTACGTCGCATGTGGTCGCGATCCTCAGTAGTGAGGGAACGATATAGAAGAAGAAGACACTATGGTAAGTATACAGCCTGCTAGTGAGTGCTCACCGTCGCTCATGGAAATCGGTAATACCAAAAATGCTGTCAAATCGCTGCATGGCTCTCTTTTAAACGTTGTTCGTAGAAGATATGCGATATCGCTTGAGGAACACTAAAACCAGTTTCATTCCGCTGCAGGATGGGAAGTTGCAAAAATGATCTCTTGAAATGCGTTAGCAGTAATTTGCAGAAGCTGGGATCCCATACTAGTAAAAAATCCTTAGTACTACCACAAAACAAACTACAAAGATCCTTTAACCTTCGAAGGTCTAATCCTATTATCGACTTACTTCCGTAGTTTTCTTCTTGCATTTGTCGGTCCCAGCGAAGATGTTCAGCTGTGTGGAGCCAGGCCTGATCGGGCACTGGTCTATATCTACTCTCCGGAGGTCGATGTCAATACCGCTTGTTCCCCTGTGAAGATCACAAAAAGAAATTCAAGTTAGTGTTTTGTTTACGCAAACGATTCCGTGTCAATAACAATGTTAATACCTTCTTCATCGTTCAAAAGTCTAAAGGTAGTTTTAAATTTATTGTCGAGGGGGAATGAGTATTTGTTACACTAAGATATAATTGTGCTTTGTATTCTTAATTGCCATGTTGTCGACAGCTCACAGATTCTAGCGTTTTTAAATCGTTAGTAATGATTTTGTTCATTGTTTATATATTTGTTTATATATACAAATCCTTCTTCACTTGAAGTTCCTATGTGTGTGATTTGTATTTGGGTTTATGTTCCTTTTTCTCAACTTATCTCAATGTAAATCTATCCATACGTAGCTTTAAGCCTTACACAGCACTAAAGGGGAACGGGGGGATTGAAAATCAGAGCTTTTCGTTGCAACTATTTCAAACAGCATCAGCTGAGCTACCGGCTTTTGCAATTTCTGTAGAGCTTTAAGTGTATTTTGCGCGAAAGCGAATAAATTATCTTAACATATCTTTTTTTATTTAAGAAACGGAGTTCATATGGTATTATTTAGGTAAGCGTATAAAATCTCATTAAGATCTTGTGTATTTACTCGCTGAAGAAAAGGCAATGTAAAAATTTTAAGAAACTCTGCACGTGTTAGTAACGTGTCACCAATATCAGAGTATAACCTCGAAATCTGTCCAAAAACCGTTTCACGCTGAACCGACCGACATTACAAGTCAGCGCCGAGTTCCATAAGTGGCGAATTAATCTTGTCACTAATCACCGAATTGTCAAAGCGATTGTTCGAGGGATTTCCGTGTAAGCCTGCACCGAGCTTCGACCAGAGCGTTCGTCGGGCAGATTATGCAAATAACATCCCCCGCAACGGATAGTTAGACTTGTCGGACTGGACCCCGAATTAATTCTGAGCTTCCTCTAATTATAGCATTAGTCCAAAACGTCTGGTCTTGCATCTAGCTAATTTTCAACTATTTAAATATGCTCTGTTAATTGAAAGTACTTTTAACAATGGTAATAATAATATGGAAGCTAAACGTGGACCTTAACAAAAACATGACCAATAAAATTTCCATTCTCGCCGGATCTTCTCAGTGGGTCGCGTTTCCGATCCGGTGGTAGATTTTGCGAAGCACTGCTCTTGCTAGGATTAGTGCTAGCAACGTCGTCAAGTTTGAGCCCCATGAGCTCACTTACTTGTTAAGGTTACGCTGAAATGGCCTCTCAAAGCTATCAGCTTAGGTAGAAAAAAAAAAGTTAATAGACGTCCAATATTAGATATGGGCCTGACGCAAACCAAGGCACAATATTTCATAGAAAATTATCAGGGAGGAGGTTTGTCGTAACACTCATGTTAGATCCTCATGCAGAATGAAGAGAACATTCCGCGACCACACCACATAATATATAGAAATAAATATAGAAATATATAGAAATAAAGGCAAGAAGAAGTATGTTTATCAGTTTTTGGTTCCCATACTACATGAAATCGTAGTTTGTGGATAGAAGACAGTGGGTGATTTGTCTCCGGTTTCTTTTTAATACAATCATAACGTAAGCTTTCGATGTTTGGTGATGCTGAACATTGTGATTTAAATTAATATGGTAACAACAAATTTGATGAAACCCCGACCCCCCGAATAAACACGGGGGTACCAAATTTAATTATCGTGTGGTTTCATTCATTATTTAAAATTTATTATATAATACACAGTACAGTACAGTAGTAGTACATTACGAACGAAATCACAATACAAATTGGAACAACCATTAATTTGAAACTCTAGGCTGAACCTGATGAGGCGAATTTTAACCAAACAAGCAAGTAACAAAAAAACTCATTCCGATAGAGGCACCCGTCACGTGCGGACGTGCTCATCGTCCACTCGATCGCCCGGTCTTTGTTCGCCCGGCTTTTGTTAGCCCGGCCATTGTTCGCGCGGCCTGTGTTCGTGATACATCTGCCGACCAAGTGTGTTTCCTGGAAGCTTTTATTTGTTTTGTTTTAGTTATTTTTGTGTTCGTGGAACATTTGCCGACAANTTTCTCGCCGGATCTTCTCAGCGGGTCGCGATTCCGATCCGGTAGTAGATTCATTCGCGAAACAATTGCTCTTGAGTTGTTAGGTCTCCTTCGGAGGCGCTCGGGCAGTTGTTAGCAAATCCCACCCCTCTTGGCTGAGCCTTTGCTCGCCCACCTGTCCTGGTGAAACTGGAAAGGCCTTCGGGCCATCAGTAAACTTTAAATCATAAAAAAAAAAAAAAAAAACTATTTTTAAATTCAAACTGTTTCAGTTTTAAATGGCCTATTGTATAGAAAACAACTCACAGTGATAAAAAAAACACACACATACACACACTATCACGACCACAAAGACACGGAAGAGCATAATAGCATTAGCATTTGTAGTGAAACTTTTTTGCAAACATTTCACTAACTCATTTAATTCCACTTTTCACTTTGATATGACACAGAGTTTGCGATGATTCATCAACATGTATTTGATATATATATATATATATATATATATATATATATATATATATATATCTCTCTGTGACTTATATTTCATATATTTATGATAATAATAAGCGATAAATAGAAAATAAAATTTTAGTAGGTTAAGATAAGCTGGTAGGCAGTGCACCAGACACCAGCTATCTTAATTGAAGCATAAAGCTAAATTGCTAATTAAATTAAAAAACCATAAGACCTAAATTAAAATCCTCCTTGATTTAAAACCAGTTAAAGAACACTCACAAAATCGAAAAACCATGGGACTACAAGAGAAAAACATTTACGTACGTACCATTATACATTTCCCATTTACACCGAAGCACTTTTATTTACTGGCGACACGATAAACGAAAACAGCATTTTCTTTTAGTCGGGTTTCTGTTTTTCAATTCCGTTGCATTCGTTATGTCTCTGAATTGTAAAATAGGTATCGCGTGCGCTTTCAAAAAAAAAAAAAAATACAAAAAAAATATTGCCGTGACTAAATTAAATACTGAATCCGATAGAAGCAAGCGCTTGCATATGTATGTATGTAGATAGAAGACTCTTTATTACGCAAACAGCAAAGTGCAAGGACGAATTGCATGTGTAGTGATTTTTTTTCGTGGTAGTGAATGTAAGTAAAATTTAAATACTGCTAGTAGTAGGTACTTACGTTTTCAAATGGCACCTTTAGAATTGTTTTTGGGAAATGCCAAAAATATAATTAAAGGTATGTAATTGTTTTAGTTTTTCGATTTCAATACTTTGTGGTATGCGCATTATTTAAAAGAGACGGAAAGAGTACTTTGTCTTTTTCTAGACTCTTCTTCTTTTTCTCCACCTTATCCCACTAGGTACGGTCGGCACAGCTAATTTTTCTCTTCCATTCTTTTCTATCCGCCGTCATTTCAACACTCACTCCTCTCTCTCTCATATCGTCATTCACACACTCCATGTCTTCTTCGGTCGACCTCTTCCCTCTACCTTGCACTACCATTTCTATACATCTCTTAGTCACATGCATCTTTCCTCTCCGCATCACATGTCCATACCACGCTAACCGTCCGCTCTTTAATTTGTTTATTACCGGGGCTACTTTCGGGCGGGGTGCTACTACTACCACCGGGGTGATTAAATATATTTTTTTGTTAAAAACCAAACCAAGCGTATGTGTTAAATATTCATAAAAAAAATGAGAATTTGGTTGAATGTCTATGGGAATATATTTGCGCATCGATTCCGTAGTTGTTTGACAGAAAATGTATTATAAAGCTATGTAGGTAAATCACGTTTTGATTAATCAACCAACACATCATCGAGCTAAAAAAAAAAATATTGAAACGCCTAAGATTTAAAGAGCAATTTAAAAATTTATTTTAATTATTTTAAAAAAATATTTTAATATTATAATATTAAAAATTTATTTTAAAGAGCAGTGTTAGTGACAGTGAGTCAGTGCGAAGCTATTTAGAACTGCTAATTAACGAAGATAGCATAACGACTAATGCGGTCTACGCAAATCGAGATGAAACTACAAGTCTTATGATTATGAACCCACTGTTTTGCCGATATAATACTGTCTGTATGTACCGGTCCTGAGTTGTTCAACTATATCTGACTTTTATTTATTTATTTTTATTGCCCTTGTAGGCAGACGAGCATACGGCTCACCTGATGGTGAGTGGTTACCGTCGCCCATGGACTTCAGCAATGCCAGGGGCAGAGCCAAGCCGCTGCCTACCGCTTAATACTCTCCACAAGCCTCGTTGAAGAAGGACATGTCATAGCGCTCGGGATGTTGATTTAATGGTATTAATACCACACACTTTCAGGCATTGTTTTTCTAATTATATCACTTGGCTATTCTTCTTGGCTCTTATTGTTTTAGCCATTATCCTTATTACTATGTGAGGTAAGCGCAGCATGTATCGTGTAATAAAAATCAGACCCGCAAAATTATAATTTACGTAATTACTAGTGGTAGGATCTCTTGAGAGTCCGCACGGGTAAGTACCACCGCCCTGCCTATTTCTGCCCTGAAGCAGTAATGCGTTTCGGTTTGAAGGGTGGGGCATTCGCTGTAGCTACATTGAGACCTTAGAACTTATTTCTCAAGGTGGGTGGCACACTTACGTTTTAGATGTCTATGGGTTCCAGTAACTACTTAACACCAGGTGGGCTGTGAGCTCGTCCACTAATCTAAGCAATATAAAAAAAAAATTCCATTCGGACTTCATCTCATTACTCACACTCTTCTCTCGCGTATACTCTTTCATACAGTCCATTCAACTCTTTTTAGGCCGTATCTCCTAGTCTAGTAATAGGATTTTGGGACCTGACTGAGCCAGCTCTATACTTATAGCTCTGGGGTAAAATGCTATCAGATATCACATCTAAGGCCCGCAGTGAATGCCACATCCTAACATATAAAATTTAACAGAATCCATATTATTTGAACCGGAGTACGTGACGGCTTCCCGGG